CCTGTGTTTGATAGTTCCAGCATCTCAAATCCTTGTGAGTGCAATTCTGCTGAATGTAGTTTGGGCGGACTTTTACTCATGATGCTTTATTTTCTTGTGCGTTTATTTTTATTTTTATTTATTTGGTTGGACCGGGTCTTAGTTGCAGCAGGCAGTCTCCTTAGTTGCAGCACATGGGCTCCTTAGTTGCAGCTCACAGGCTCCCCAATTGTGGCATGCGATATCCTAGTTGTGGCATGCTTGTGGGATCCAGCACCCTGACCAGGGAATGAACCCGGGCGCCTGCATTGGTAGCTCAGAGTTCCATCCACTGTGCCACCAGGGAAGTCCCAGTGATTTTGTTTTTAAATGTAAACTTACTCTCCTTGGCATTCAGTCTCTTGATAAGTGATTGGTATCCATACAACTGAGTTTACTAGTTTACCCTTTCACTGAATGTATAGTCCTTTGTGGTCCTGGGTTTATGCAGTCGTCTCCTATCAGACTCACTACCTTCAATGATCTCTAGGTTTTATCTCCTGTCCCTCACCTGTAGCCAGGAAAATAGGGCAGGTTCACAAGGGTTCAGCAGATGTCCTCAGGGCGGCTGGAGACCACCACTAGCCAGTCTAACTCTGAATTTCTGCTTCTGCTTTGAGTTTGCCCTCTGAGACTTCCTTACTCAGCTTGGTGACTCTTTCAAAAAGTTGTAATATTTTATATAGCATTTTTCATTGTTGCTGGAGGAGGGTTGTAGTGTTTTGGTCTACCACACTGCCAGAAAAGGAAGTCTATTTATTATTTCTCTCCTCCATCTCTTCCCCCGCTGCTGGAACTCTTACCAATCACATGTAACTCTCTGATCCTTCCTCTCAAGATTTCCATCTCTTTTTACTTTTTTTTTTTTTTTTTTGTGGTACGCGGGCCTCTCACTGTTGTGGCCTCTCCCATGGCGGAGCACAGACTCCGGACGCGCAGGCTCAGCGGCCACGGCTCACGGGCCCAGCCGCTCTGCGGCATGTGGGATCTTCCCAGACCGGGGCACGAACCCGTGTCCCCTGCATCAGCAGGCGGACTCTCAACCACTGCGCCACCAGGGAAGCCCTCTTTATACTTTTCCTCTGCGTTTTGAGATATTTCCTTCACTTTATCTTCCAGTTCTCTCATTTTGTTTTCAACCCCTCTCAATGGTTACCGTTCTATCTTCTATGGGAAAAAAAATCATACGTTGTTGTTGTATAATGTCTTTTTATGCCATGAACAATTCTCCTAAGGTGCGGTGATGATGGTGATAGTGATAGTGATGACAGTGGTGATGATGGTGATGACAATGGAGATGATGTTGGTGGTGGTGATGGTGATGATGGTGTTAGCGATGGTGTTTTCATTTATTTACCACTAGTTGAGATGTTCTGTTTTGTCTTCTTCTCTCTGGCACCTGGGTCCCCTTAGGCCTATTTAAATTTTCTTTTTCTTGCTCAGAGCTCTTTGGCCTTCAGTGAAAGCTTTTAGGATCTCTTTTGCACTGATGAAAGCCGAGGTAACAAGCCAGCTGTTGCTACCCTGACAAGCACTGAGAGGAAGCTCCCAGTTGTCAGTAGCTGCAGTGTGTTGACAAGCTCCCAGGCCCCTCACCCATGCGGCTCTCCCACATCCTCCCCAGGCCAGAGTAGCCCTACAAGCTCACAGGAGACTACAATGGGACCCAAGGGGACCCTCTTCCTTTTAGGAACCCCAGAATCTTGGGCCTTACCCTAGGCTTCTGAGATCTGATCCCCTCACTCCCACCTAGCTGGAGGGTGAAAGAGTTGGTGGCTGTTCCCTTTTCTAGAGATTCTGGAAGAGCTCTCTGTTCCACATATATGCTCCAGGCCCTGCCATCGGGCACTCCCTTCTGGCTGCCCCTTAGCTCAGGAGGTGGAGTTGAATACAAGCCGGGAGGAACTTTCAGGCCACCCTTCCCACCCCCTCTGCCAATTTTTAAACACACAGTGGCCATTTGTTTACAAATTTTGGTCTTGCTTATTCTTTTTAGGAACCATATGTTATTGCATTTATATGGCTGTGCGTTCATTTATTTAACCTGAGCTTTTCCCAGATTTTGATTTTTAATATCATACAATGTACAGTCCTTATGAATCTTCATCATCACGCCATTATTATTATTCTAAATTTGCAGTACCTGATTCCCAAAGCTCCGTGACGATGATAATAAAAATGTTAGAAATTACTGAATGCCCGTGATGTGCTGGGCCGTTACATGTGTTAACTCATTTAACACGTATTTCACAGCCCTATTTTTATCCTGATTTTACAGATAAGGAAATTAAGTCTCAGAGAGGTTAAGTGACTCATTCAAGGTCACACAGCTAATAGGGGATGGAGGCAAGCTTCAAAGTTCTCATGCCTTCGCTATCTCCATACCCTGCATGGAGAACACACTGGGTCAGATTTCCAGTCCAGTTTCTGCAATTTAATAACCACACTTCCCCTGACAAGTGACATTAGCTTCTTGGGACCTAGATTCTTCTGTTACCATAATCTCTGCCTTGCCTCCCTCCCAGCAGTGTGGAAGAGGTCAAAGAGATCGTGTACGTGGAAGCACTTTAAAAACTGTAACGTTCCATACACATAATACAAATACAAATAATTGAGATTCTTTCTGAGTACACATTTAAGCTTCTTGATTTCAAGCACTGTAGCCCTTTAACAAATGTGAAAGAGATGTCCAGAGATCTAGTCAGATCTCCAAAGTGGATACTATATAATGATTGCAGAAACAAGGCATAGCTGTTTTTAAAGATACAAAGTTATCTGTAAATGCCTGGAGCAGCTGCTCCAAGTGTTTTCTGAATCACCTTTTCTTAATTTCTTTTAACTGAATGACAGACTAACTCTAGTCCACTGCTGAATTCCACATTCCTCTCTTTATTTGTTCAAAATTCCTTTTTGTGTGTGTGTAAGAAACATTGCTTTCTTAGGCCTCTCCACTTCCTCTGCACTTCTGTCATACACTAGTGTTTGGCTTTCTGCGGAAGGCCATTTTCACAAAGAAACAAGACTTTATTTTTCATCATTTTGAAAGATGAGAAAGTACTAGATAATGTGTTGATTCATAAGTGGTACAAATTCACACCTCAGTAATTGACAAATGCCACACACCACGGGCATTCAAGGTCCCGAGGGAGTTTATATTTCTGAGTCAAATCCTTGAATACCGCGGTTCCATGGCAGAAACTAGGCACTCCTTTAGTCGGCGCTTTGCCTGGTAACTAGAGCAGCCTGGCTCCCTTACCAAAATGTGAACATTTCTTGATGCAAAGCCTGCATCTTCTTCATCTTCAGATTCTTCTCCAGAAGTCCCCAGTGCCTGGTGTTTTCATGATTATGCAAAACTTATTTGTAGAACTGAATGGCATCACCTTCATGAATTCTTTTTTCCACTGCGCATACCCCTCTCTAGTTAGAGGCAGAGCGGGTTCTTGTTGGCCTTTGTGTGGGACGGCATGTCAGTCATTTGTAGACTGGTCTTTATTTTATCCACCTGGTGAGAGGGAGGGTTTGGACAGGATGATCTTTAGGACCTGTTTAATTAAACAAGGAGGTGTCCCTAATGCCCTGGCCGCCTGCAGGAGCAGACCAAAATTTAAGCCTGTGAATGCTTCAAGGTTATGAAACCAAAAGACAACGCAGATAAGCTTGTTGATTTCAAGCACCTTAGCCTCTTAACAAATGTGAAAGATGTGTTCAGAGACCTTGTCAAATCCCCAAATTGGATACCATAAGCTAAAGACAACCAATCACAAACAGCTAACGAGCCTTTAAGCTGTATCCAATCAAATAATTTCCTACCTTTGCTTTGCACTTTCTCTCTCTATAAATTTCCCCTGGCTCCCTGCTGCAAAGTGCTCCCAACTGGGTTGACACCACCCTATTCGAATTGATTTTTGCTCAAATAAACTCTTAAACTTTTAAAATATGTCTTAGTTTATCTTTTAACAGATCATGGCTCCCAAAGCCCACCAGTCTCCTGGAGATTAAGAGATACCTGAGCTCCTTCCTGGAAGTTCTGACTCCCAATAGATCTGGGATAGGTAAGAATTAGTAATAAGATCAGCTAACACTTATCAAGAACTTGCTTGGGTCTAGGCATGGTGCTAAGTGTTTTACAAGTTCATGTTCTCAGTTTACATCTTCACAACCATCTGAGGTAGTTGCTATTATGGCCCCTATTTTATAGAGGAAGAAATTTAAGCTAAAAATGGAGGGGAGGTGGGGGTAGCTGCCTAGAAGGTTATGTAACTAGTAACGGGTCGAGAGGAGATTCCATCTCAGATCCGTGCTACAGGAGCCTTTGGCGGGGTGGGTTGGGGGGGAGGGGCTCCTGGTGATTTTGATGATAAGCCAGCTGTGAGAAACGCCGCCCAGAGGCCCACGCCACCCTTAAAGGATGCATCTGTTTGCAATGTTTGGCCCATCCCCCTCCAGTGTTTCTGGAAAGAACAGCTTTCTCTCTAAACCTAAGACGAGCAGCTGGACCTCTTATCGACATTTCCCAGCTTTCGGGCAACGCCGAGTCCACTCCGGGAGCCTCTGGGTCTCACAGGTTACCCCAGTCTGGGAACCCAGAGAGACTTTCTGTACACCTGGCACTTCTGGTCCCGCCCCGTTTCGCGACACCCCCAATCCTAAGTCCGTTCTTCGCGATTGACGTGACCCCAGAACAGTTATAATTGGTTATAACGTACTGCCGCTCCGCCTCCTCGAAGACTCCGCCTCCCTTTCATTCTGAAAGAAAGAACCTCGGCCCGGGCGCCCAATGAGAAGCGCCCCCACCCCAAAGGTCCCACCTTTTTCGGCGCCGACTCCGCCCCCAGGGCCGGAGAGATGCCCGCCTTTCGGCGTAGCATGGACCAATAGGAGGGCGCGACCGTCCGGACGGACGGCAGCCGGCCCAATCCCTGGGCCTCGGGCTGCGTCGCCCCGCCCCTCCGCCGGGCCGAGCGGCGGGCAAGAGCGGGCCTCGGGGCGGCGGCGGCGGCGGACGCGGCCTGAGGGAGCGGCCGGCTGCCGCCTCGCCCGCCGCGGGGTCCATGGCCTGAGCGGCCATGTCCGGCGTGGTGCGGACCCTCAGCCGCTGCCTGCTGCCGGCCGAGGCCGGCGGGGCCCGCGAGCGCAGGGCGGGCGGCGGCGGGGCCCGCGACGCGGAGCGCGAGGCGCGGCGGCGCAGCCGGGACATCGACGCGGGGCTGGCCCGCGAGCGGCGCGCCGTGCGGCGCCTCGTCAAGATCCTGCTGCTGGGCGCGGGCGAGAGCGGCAAGTCCACCTTCCTCAAGCAGATGCGCATCATCCACGGCCGTGAGTTCGACCAGAAGGCGCTGCTCGAGTTCCGCGACACCATCTTCGACAACATCCTTAAGGTACGCTCTCCCCGCGTCCCCGCCCGCACACCTGCGCCCAGGTGCGCGCAGGTGCGGCCCCGCGGACTCCTGCGCCCCGGCCGGCACCGCGGCCCACGCCTTTGTCTGCCCCTGGTCTGGCCGCAGCGGCCCCGTGCCCCCAGCTTTGGGGGAGCCGGCCAAGGATGCGCACCCTGTCTCCCCGTCGGCCTGGTGGCCTTCGCCTCTGCTCTTCTCGGGGATTTGGGGGCTGAGGAAGCGGGAAAGCCGGACACCTTCTGGGGCTTCGGAGGCGCGGGGGTTTTAGCGGTGGGGAGGGCCCCTCCTGGATTCAGGGTGCCGTCCTTGCCCTGCCCTCCCAGTAGGTTCAGAAGAGCGGTGTAGACTGGGGAGGAAACCGGCCGCACGTCTCTCCTTTTAAACTGGTTATTAGGAAAATTTCCAACATATACAGAGTAGAGAAAATAGAAGGAACAGTAAGTACCCAGGCCCCTCTCCACAACTTCAGCAGTGATGGATTCAGCGTCCGTCTTGTTTCACCTGTACCTCTGCCCCTGTGATTTTGAAGCAAACCCCAGACACTGTATAGATTCACTGGAAAGTGTTTACGGAGCTCACAGATAAGCGTACGGTGGTTATGTTTTTTAAAATGATGCCCTGAAAATTTAATAACTCCTTAACATGGTAAAGTACCCAGCCCTGTTCAGATTTCCTCCATTGTCACATAACTGTTTTGTTTGCGTTAGGATATAAATCTTTGCATTGCAATTTTTAACATATCTCTCAGGTGTGTTTAATCCCCAGGTGCTCCTTCTGTCCCTTGCTCCATTTTTATCATTTGCTACTTGTTTGTGGGAAAAAAAAGCGTAGAGCTGACCAAGTGTGGGTTCTAGTTTCTGTGTACTGTGTGAACCTGTAGTAGAGGGCCCCAAAGAAGGGAATTCTGGAGAAACCTGATGAGGGGAAAAGAGAGCCTCTCCTGTACCTAGAATAGGGTCATTTCCTTTTTTTTTTTTTCCTTATAGTTTCTTACCTCTACCGTTTCCTTTCCCCTTCACCTGCCCTTTCCATGGCCCATTTTGGGGAAACCAAATTACAGGTATGAGGAAAGTTGTCTCAAAACAGAGGTAGAGGGAAGCTTGTCAAACAGAATCCTCTCTGGAGATGAGATCTTGCGGTGCCTGAGGAACTCTAAATTTAGCCAAGGGCTGTATAACCAGCCCATGGGCACATGTCTTTCACTTCACCCATGAGGAAGCTCTGGGCCTTGGTGATGAAGTGGCTCCCCGCTGGGACCTGGAACCCTGGGCTCCAGACTTCCAGGCCTGCATCAGGAATCTCGCACCAGTATTCTCACTTGCTGTATTTGTTAGTAAAACATTTCGTTTTGATAGAAATAGCTCTTTTAGGATCCTGCCGGGAAGAGCATAATTTGAATGATAAAACACCCGTTTCCTTTTCACCTCTTTCAAAAGCCTCTCTGTGAGTCAGAGCTCTGGCCCAATACTTCATAAACTTTAAAGGCTAGGTGCCCAGTATGATCCAAGGGATTAACTGTGTGTTTAAAATTCCCCTCATCTTCTGGGGTAAAGTTCATTTGATTGTCTTTCTCTGTCACAGAGCTCGATTTTATTTTTGCGGCTTTTCTGGACCTCTTAACCAAGCAGGTTATAAGATTTGGCTGATGGACTCGCAGTTTCTTTCAACTCGGGAGGCAGAGAAAATACTTAGAAACAGAATCTTAAATCTAAATCAGTGTATTAAGTGCATTTTTAGAAAACTCAGTCTTAGCTTTTCCCAATACATACAGACACTAACTTCTACTAACTTCCTTACCAGCAAGAAACAAGATTTGTTGTTAATCAGTATCCTATTTTCCTTGTCAACTTTTTTTCTTTTTTAATAATTGTAATTCCATATTAAGCTCACTTTGTCTGTTTTGACCATTTCAATGAGTAGTTAGCAATTCATCTTTCACTGTAAAACCAATAATTACCTCTCCCCTCATTTTTATTTGGACAGATCACTTTGGGAAGAGACTTTTTGAATAAATTGCTTTGTAGTGGCTCTAGTAGCAGATATTTGAATAATAACTCTTCAGAATAATATTTGTGTCTACAAATAGAGTTCGTGTTAACGGGCTATTTTTAAAGCACTAGCTATGTGCCAGGCCTTTTCATATATGGCCTTTAATTTTCGTAATGCTTCAAATGGTATTGTCGCAGCGTAAGGTCAGTTACCTAATTCATAGGTGACACAGCTGGGAACCAAACCTGATCTTTTTTTTTAAATTAAACTTTTAATGCTGAGAGAACTGTAGAGTCCCATGCAGTTTTAATAAATAATAGAGAGCTCCTATGTACCCTTAAACCAGTTCCCCACAACGGTGAGATCTTGTAAAACTAGTACAATATCACAACCAAGATACCGACGTTGAGAAAGTGAAGACACAGAACGTTCCCATCACAACAAGTATTCCTCACGTTGCCTTTTATAGCCACTGCCACCCTTCGCCCTCCCCCGACCTGGCAGTGACTGATCTATTTTCCAATTCTATAATTTCGTCATTTCATGAATATGATATAAATGGAGTCTTGCAAGAAGTGACCTTTTGGAATTGGCTTTTATCACTCAGCATGATTCCCTAGAGATACACCCCAGTTACTGTGTGTGTTCACAATCAGTAGTTCCTGCCTTTTAATTGCTGAGTAGTATCCATGGTAAGAATTTACCACCGTACACCATTTAACCATTCGCCTGTTGAAGGACATCTGGGTTGTTTCCAGTTTCTGCCTATTATGAATAAATCTTCTGTGAACACTTGTGTACATGTTTTTTGTAAGTACATAAATTTTCGTGTATCTGGGATAAACGCCCAAGAGTGCAGTTGCTCAGCTGTGTGGCAGGTGCATGTTTAGTTTTATAAGAACCTGCCAACCTGCTTCTGAAGTGGCTGTACTATTTTATATTCCCACCAGCCGTGTATGAGTGAGTGATCCAGTTTCTCTGCATCCTTGCTAGCATTTGGTGTTGTCACTATTTTTTATTTCAGCCATCTCTGATAGGTGCATAAGTGCTATGTTACTGCCATTTTAATTTGCATTTCCCTGTGGCTAATGATACTTTCCTGTGCTCATTTGCTGTCTGTATATTCTCTTTGATGAAATGTCTCTTCATACTTTTTAGCCGTTTTGTAATTAGGTTCCTTGTTTCTTTATTGTTGAGTTTTGAATGTTCTTTATATATTCTGGGTACCACTCCTTTGTGAAATACGTGTTTTGCAAATATTTTCTCCCAACCCGTAGCTTGTCTTTTCATCCTTTTTAGCAGGGTCTTTTGCAGAGCAAAAGTTTTTAATTTTGATGAGGTCCAATTTATCAGTTTTTCCGTTTATGGATCATGCTTTTCGTGTCAAGTCTAAGAACTCTTTACCTAACCCTAGATCCCAAAGATTTTCTCCTATTTTTAAAAAAATTTTATAGGTGTACATTTTACTTTTAAGCCCCTGATCCATTTTGGGTTAATATTTGTATAAGGTGTGAGGTTTAGGTGGAGATTTTTTTGTTTTTTCTCTATGGATGTCCAGTTGTTCCAGGATTATCTGTTGAAAAGACTGTCCCTCCTCCTTTGAATTGCTTTTGCACCTTCGTCAAAAATCAAGTGGGCATATTTGTGTGGATCTATTTCTGGGTTTTCCATTCTATTCCACTGATCTATCTCCTCTTCTGCCAATATCACACGATGTTGATTGCTATCGCTATATAGTAGGCTTAATATCAAAGTGATTTCTCCCACTTCACTTTTCAAGATTGTTTTAGCTATTCTAGGGTCTGTGCCTTTCCATTGTAAATTTTAGAATAAGCTTTCTTATGTCTGTATTTAAAAAAAAAACTTGCTGTGATTTTGATAGCATTTGCATTAAACCATAGATCAGTTTGGGGAGAATTGACATCTCTCCTATGTTGAGTCTTCCAATTCATGAACATAGTATGTCCTCATTTATTTAGGTTGTCTTTGATTTCTTTCATCAGCATTTTGCACTTATCAACATACAGATCCTGTACATGTTTTGTTACATTTATACTTAAGTATTACATTTTCTTTAGAGCAGTTGTAAGTGATACTGTGCTTTTACTTTAAGTTTCCACATAGTCATTGTTACTGTATAGCAATAGGATTGATTTTTGTGTCAATCATGTGTCCTGTGACCTTGGCCAAATACATTTAATGGTTCTAAGAGCTTTCCTATAGATTCTTCGGGATTTTCTATGTAGATCATCATGTTATCTGCAAATAGGGACACTTATTTCTTCTTTCCCTAAAGTTAGGTATGCCTTTATTTCTTTTTCTTGCCTTACTGCAGTGGCTAGAACTTCCAGTATTAAGAGAGGTGAGAATAGTCATATCTTATGTTTCTTTCCTGATGTTGGTGATTTGTGTCTTCTCTTTTTATTTTTCTCAGTATTTTAGAGGCTTATCACTTTTACTGATTTTTTTTTCCCCTGAAAACTGGCTTTTTATGTCATTGATTTTTCTGTTTTCAGTTTCATTTATTTCTGCTTTTTATTATTTTTTTCCTCCTACTTGCTCTGATTTTATTTTGCTCTTTTTTTTTTTAATTTCCTGAGGTAGAGACTTAGATTATTTACTTGAGACCTCTCCTCTTTTCTAATGTAAACATTTTAAGTGCTATAAATTTCCCCCTCAGCACTGCTTTAGCTGTAGTCACATATTTTGATATGTGGCATTTTAATTTTTATTCAGTTTCGTATGTATTTTTCTTGCTTTTGAGATAGCTTCTTTGGCCCATAGATTGTTTAGAAGTGTGTTACAGTTTCCAAGAGTAGAGAGATTTTCCTGTTATCTTTCTGTTCCTGATTTCTATGACTCCATTATGGTCAGAGAACATACTTTGTATGACTTCAGTTCTTTTAAATTTTTTGAGGTTTGTTTTATGACTCAGAATATGGTCTATCTTGGTATATGCTCAGTGGGCTTACGTTGGTGACTGTTCCATGGGT